ACAGGGTTGCTGGAGTGGGGGGTGGGGTGGGAGGGATGGGGTGACTGGGTGATAGACACTGGGGAGGGGATGTGCTCTGGTAAGCGCTGTGAATTGTGCAAGACTGTTGAATCTCAGATCTGTACCTCTGAAACAAATAATGCAATATATGTTAAGAAAATAAAAAGAAGAAGAAGGTAGCGGGAGGGGAAGAATGAAGCGGGGGAAATCGGAAGGGTAGTCGAACCATGAGAGACGATGGACTCTGAAAAACAAACTGAGGGTTCTAGAGGGGAGGGGGGTGGGAGGATGGGTTAGCCCGGTGGTGGGTATTGAGGAGGGCACATTCTGCATGGAGCACTGGGTGTTATGCACAAACAATGAATCATGGAACACTTCACCTAAAACTAATGATGTAATGTATGGGGACTAACATAAGAAAAAAAAAAAGACTTAGAATGCGCAAGCTACAGTAGTAATCACAGACGCACTGCACATGGAATCTTGGGCAACCTTATATGTTGAGTGCCCAACACTGAACCCAATAACTTGGCAATTAAGTCACTGAACATACAAACAGCGAGAACAAAAAGGCTTATTTGTTTGCCTCTTGGTGTATTAAAATCCATTTAAATCTGGTCGGCAAGCAAGTCAGCGTCACCATCACACAAAAGTTGGTGCTAGATCTGGTTCTCAGAGGTAGAGATAACAGGATTGGGAGCACATCCATTGAACCGGTGTCTGTAAGCACCAGAACGACCTGATGAAGGTAGGAAAAACATCCCAAGTAGCTAGCACTTTACAGGAGTTAGGAAATTGAACTTAAAGTGGCCTCAAGAATATGAATTGGTGGTTTCCCGAATACTGGGTCAAGTTCCAAAGGTTCCAAAAGATAGGACATATAGTACTAAGAAATAATTAAATAAAAAGTACATAGGAATACTTGCATGTCAGAGGGAAAATAATGTGAATCTTAGCACAAAAGTGATGTCAAAAGCCAAACATAATCCTGGGATAGGTGCTCAGTAGTGTGATAAATAAAGACCAGGGAATTGTCTCTCTGTTTTAGGCAATGCAGGGTTATGGTGATTACACAATAGCCAAAATTATAGAAAATGAACAAAATTGTGGCAAAAAGACTATTATTTTGCTTAGAAAGAAAGAACTCTTTTTATATTTAAGTGCTAGAACAGGCTTTTGAGAAAATCTGTTTATTCCCTTCTTTGGGATCTCTAAAGATGAATCCTAGAATCCCTTCCAGCTCTGTAATGCCATGATTTAATCCTTGGTTTTAAATAAATAAAAGAACCCTAATTCAGTGCAGAACACTGTCACCAGAAAATAATATATTTAATTGGTAGTTTATGAATGTGACCTTGGTTAAAAACCATGTCTCCACTATTTATTAACCGAGCTACCCTAAGCAAGCCTCTCTCAATCTGTTTATCTGTAGGATGCCTTTTTCAGAGGTCTATCCTGATGATAGAGTGGAATAATGTTTGTGAGCTGTTCAGCGCAGTGCCTATCCCCGAGCAAGCCCTCTCAAAAGGTGGAAGCTTTCATTTACTGAGGAGTAAATGAAAATTAAATTAAAATGAGCCTTTAGAACAATGCCTGACCCAGAGTAAGCACTCAAGTTTAATGAAAAGTTATGAATTACAAATGGAATTTGAAAGTAATATAGCTTCTTTACCTTACTCATACAAGCAGTATGATAGTATCTTGGGAAAAAAATTCACCACTAATTATGTGTCTCTGGGCAAGTCACTAAAACCTCTGCATTTCTGTTTCTTCTCTGCACAATGAGAGTGCAAGTGGATTAGATGACCACTTATGTGTCTTCCACCTGGTTCTAGAAAAAGTTTCTAGACAATACCAGAGCTTAGTATACACAATAAATGTATAATATACACTCTGTAAAACTCCAGTTGTGAACTAAGAAATAACCAGTGAGCAATAGTAGAATTAAAAATTAAAATTCACAATAGCCCTACAATATAAAGTACCATAAACATAAAAGTCTTTTCATTATTTAAGGACTGACTAAATAATGAATAATTGCTAGATACAGAATCAAGCACAAACATAGATATTTGAATTTCAATTTTCATATAATTTCCTTTATATTCACACTGAGAAATTATTTTGAGTCTCTCATTCTGTAAAAATCATGTAGTGAGTTTAAATAATCCCATATTCCAAATGTGAAGACTCCAAGCTAATGCTGCTTTACTGTGACTGAGGAGTCAGCAAATGTTTCCTGCAAAGGACCAGACAGTAAATATATTTTAGGCTCACTCAACCCTGCCCTTGTAGTTCAAAAACAGCCATGTGTAAATGAATGGCTGTGACTGCATTCCAATAGATCGGTAATTGTGGACACTAAAATTTGAATTTCATACTGTTTTTAAGCGTCATGAATTTTCTTTTCATTTTTTTTCAACCATTTAAAAAGCGTTAATACCCTTCTTAGCTTGTGGGCTATACAGAAACGGGGAGTGTAGGATTTAGCCGATGGGCCAAAGTTTGCCATCCCTTGCTGTAATTACATACTTTGGGAAAGAATCTGATAATGTAGGAAATCCAGAATTAGCAGAATACCCCTCTGGGATTTTCCCTGGTTGGTTGGTTGGTGTTTGTTTTGTTGTACTGTTTTCATCTACTATGTTCCGAAGGTTTTCACCACAAACCAGGGACCCTTTCTCAGTCCTAGGGCAAGGGCAGGCACTGGGTTTAAGCATAAGTAAGGCAAGCCTGACACCTTGAGGTTGCTCTGCAAGTGGCAGGTGCCACCCTGGAAATTAACCAGCAAGGCCCATCTCCTGGGAAGTATGAATCCAGGAGGGGGCAGCCATGCAGATTCAACTCAGCAGTGAGCCAGCCAGCAGCTGTTGTTATTGTTGAAATGGGGCAGGATAAAGTCCACAGATCACTGTCTGACTTCTCTCTCCAAAGGGCTGTCTTTAGGGGCATTTCATTCTATTGAAAAAATAAATAACTTCCAGGGGGCTGGAAGGACAACTGAGACCGGAGGGTTCCAAGGACATTCAAGACTTTCCCTGCTCTGGATAAGTCTCCTGCCTGAAGTTATTCATACATTCCAGAGGATAGGAAGGGGTATGAAGCACAATGGCCCCATCCCTCTCCTTTCAGATGCTTACAGAGGAAAAGGAAGGGAAATGTATGGGACATAATTGCTATTGAAAATCAGATTTACTCTGGGAGATGGTGATACGGGGCTTTAAGAAGCAAAGGCCAATGATCAAATGTTACAAAAGGCTGGAAGTAAATAGGATGACTCAACTGCCTATCCAGGTCAGACTCTCCCAGGACTATCACGCCATTGTGCTGGGATGCAGCATTTTGCTCCTTTTTGGAAAAGGATTGTAGAGGCCATTCTTTCCATACCCCTCTCTCCAGAAGTGTTTCCCGGAAACATCCGAGACTCGAGTTATTCTTATCTTGTAAATTATCCTAGAAAAACAATCCTACAACTTGCTAGTTCATCCTTTTATCTAAATGAAAGCCATTTTATTTATTTGACACAGAGAGAGAGATAGCGAGAGCAGGAACACAAGCAGGGGGAGTGGGAGAGGGAGAAGCAGGCTTCCTGCCAAGCAGGGAGCCCAGTGTGGGACTCGATCCCAGTATCCTGGGATCACGACCTGAGCCAAAGACAGACGCTTAACGACTGAGCCACCCAGGCGCCCTTCCGTGTTTCTGAGAGTAAACAGAGGGGACACTTGGAGAGAATTTGGCAGGGTTTACCCCTGGTTCTGTAGTCACAAAAGTACTTTTATATTTGTGAGAGCCTCCTCTTTGGAGATGACAAGCCCTGAGGGACTCACATGCATGTTGAACGTCCATAGCTGTCAGTTCGATGGGCTAAAAAGAAGCAGGAAGGACCTCGACTGTCAGTACTCCCAACACAGGCAGAGAACTGGGTAGCCGGGCATAGGTGAGCTGGCAGAGGACTTAAAGGTCCCGGTCCCAGCGAATCTCCCACACTGACAACTCGGAGCAAGGGCAGAGAGGGGCGACTCTAGAGCCTATCCCTAGAGAGAACAAGACACTGAATCCGATTCAGAGCTGTGCCATTAAGATGAGGGTGCCATGAACTGCTGGGTTTTGTGGTCCTCCGTGGAGACAGCAGATCATGCCACTCCTCTCCCTGGGTTGCAACCCCCCTCATCCTAGGGGGAGATGTCAGGGTGGGGCAGAAGAAATCAATTCTGACACATTCGTACCCACAGCTGTGGACAGTGCCATGAGAGGGAGCTTGCAACCTTTCGTGAAGCCCCCCAGGGAACTGAGCAGTACCCAGATCAAGTTCTCAGGGCCCAACGTGCAGTTCCTGAAGATCTGCTGCCCTCCTAGGGAAATGCTTACCTTCCCTCTGGGGTGATTCCACTTTGCTGCCAACCGCACCTCTGATAATTAACCACTGTGCTGGGCTCTGCCCTGCAGCCCCTGGACAAGGCAAGTAACAGAGTCCTTGGCTGTGTTAACCAGGTGGTATTTTTCCCCTGATCCGAAGCTGGCGGTGAAAATGTGGGTTTTAGTAGGGAGCAGGATTTTAGCATGACCTTTCCTGCCTCCCTCTTTTGCTTGACAATGAAAAGCTCTGGAACCTCTCCGGAGACCTCTCTTCTACACATCGGATCCCCAACACCAGAGCTACAACTGTCGGATCCCCAGAGTGACTCTGCAGGGATGGGAACACTGTCTCTGGGGCCAGTGCAGGAGCCTCTTGGAGGCTCTTTTCTGGGCACTTGGCCTTAAAGGAGGTAGCGACTGGGGCCTCCCGAAGGACTCGGCCTGAAGGGCTAGTCCAGCATTGTAGGAGTTAATGTGGGACCGCGCGTAAAGGGAAGGGTAAAAAAGTTGGAGTTGACACTTACGGAGGGGGGTGGGGGGGGCGAGTCTTGCTGACTCCTGATTGGTTTTACATTTCATCCAAAAATTTTTTTTCGCTCCTCTCTCGCTCCCTCTTTTCAGTTTCTCTCTCTGATCCCAGGGGAGGGGAAACGGGAATAGTGAGAGATCAAAAATAAACCTCTTATGTCAAAGCCGGGAAGGAAGTATAAATACGAAGGGCTCGGCAGCCCACTCGGTGCTTCCCGGGGTGGGGAGGAGGCAGGAGGCGGCTGCGCGGGGACCGCGCGCGGGGCAGGGGCGGAGGACCGGCGCTCGCGGGCCGGGGAGCCAGTTGCTCGCGCTCGGCTCGGCGGGCGGGCGCGGGAGGAGCGGCCTGCGCCAGCCAGAGGGGCCGCTCGGGGACCGCCGCCGCCAGGCCCCCACCGGCCGAGTCGGCCAGCGAGCTGATTGATTTGCTTTTTCCTGGAGAGAGCGGCCGGGCTGCGCTCGCGCCGCCAGCACCTGCCCGCGCCGGGCCGCCGTCTTCCTCTCCCGCGCCGCCGCCGGAGCCCCCATGCCCCGCGCCGCCCCCCGGGGGCCGCCGCTCCTGCTGCCGCTGCTGCTGCTCTCGCTGCCGCCGCCGCCGCCGCCGCCGCTCGCCCGCGGCGCCCCGGCCCGGCCCGGCGCGCGGGGGCAGGCCTCGGAGCTGGTGGAGCCCACGCGGTTGCCGGGCAGCGCGGGCGAGCTCGCGTTCCACCTGCCCGCCTTCGGCAAGGGCTTCGTGCTGCGCCTGGCGCCCGACGCCAGCTTCCTGGCGCCCGAGTTCAAGATCGAGCGCCTCGGGGGCTCGGGCCGGGCGGCCGGGGGCGAGCGGGAGCTGCGCGACTGCTTCTTCTCCGGCACGGTGAATGGGGAGCCCGAGTCGCTGGCGGCCGTCAGCCTGTGCCGCGGGCTGAGCGGCTCCTTCCTGCTGGACGGCGAGGAGTTCACCATCCAGCCGCAGGGCGCGGGGCGCTCCCTGCGCCAGCCGCACCGCCTGCAGCGCTGGGGGCCGCGGGCGCGCCTCGGGACCCCCGGGCTCGCCTCCTCCGAAGCCCACCCCCTCCCCGGAGGGCCCGAGTGGGAGGTGAAGGGAGAGGATCGGAGGCAGGAGAGAGGAGACGAGGAGCAGGAGAAGGAAGAGGTGGAGGAGGAGGAGGAAATGGAGGAGGAGGGGGGCAAAGAAGAGGAGACAGAAGGCGCCGGCGATCTGCCACCGCCCCTGGGGGCCACGAGTAGGACCAAGCGGTTTGTGTCCGAGGCTCGCTTCGTGGAAACGCTGCTGGTGGCCGATGCGTCCATGGCTGCCTTCTATGGAGCCGACCTACAGGTAGGACTCACTTTGCCTGGAGGCCCCCAGTCACCTCCTAGAGCCTCCCAAATCTTCCCTTTCCAGTTCCTCTGAGAAAATCCTTCACGTTCCTCATCCTCCCAAGACCTACCCCAAACAAGGTGCTTTCCTTTCTGAGAAAGCGCAGTAACTCACTTCTTAACCTCTGACCCTTGGGGTACCTACTGCCCCTCTCCCCCGTGTCCCTTCCAGGATAGAGTGGAGGTCCTGGCTCTTCCTTGACCTCTGCCGCTCACCTTCACCCCTGGCATCCTGAATCTCCTTCAGCACTTGGCAAACTGAACTAAAAGTGGGGTTTAAAGCGCACCCCCCCCTCCCCCAGGCACCTGCCTCTCCCAACAGAGATGAAAACTGGACATTTTGGAAGAGCATCCACCCTATGCTCCATTTCTCAGCCCTCTACTGTCTCCAGAGCTGAGAGGTTCCCAAGGATAGTCAGCTGGGACGGAAAGATGTGTCTATTTCATTCCCTTTGCGGACAGAACTGAGGTTGCCATAAGTAAAAGATATTGTTTGGAGGGAGTTGAACCTGGAAAGGGGCTGCCCAACTTCTGTGTGCCCAGCTGGTTCTGATCAAGGGGCATGGACTACCTTGCCAACCTGGCACTCGGCCCCGGCCAAACTTGGCAGTGCCAGCATCAGCACAAAAAGGGTGGGGAACAGAATTTCTGCCTGGGGGCTCAGCCTGGGAAACTGAAGCTTCAGTGGAAAAGGAAGGGCATATGAACGCTTTCAGTTAATGTTCCTTGTGGAGCCAGAACTCTGCTTGGTCCACCCCAGCTGCTCTCAGCCCAGACACAGCTCTCTACTGAACTTGGGCAGGAAAATTGAATTCAGGGGACAGCTCCTGTAGCCAGACCATGTCTAACTAGATTCAGAGGTGGTGCAGACTCAGCAGGAGGAGTCTCTGTCACCTTGTGTCCCAACACCTCCCCCAAGAACCAGGTGAAGTACAAGGGTTCCAGGGGAGGGCTATACTTTCTCTTCCCCTGAGGAGCACAAAACCAGAGGTGTGCCAGATAGAGAAGACCTGACCTGCCCAGAGGTCAGAGATGCCTGCAGCAGGGATCCCGGCCACTGCCGCAGCTCAGTTAATGCCTTTTCAATAATGGCAGTCTTGGCCAGTGACCCTCTTCTAGGCTCAGCCTATGCCCGACTGTTGGGGGCACCAAGTGCTTCCGCATCACCTGTGCAGAACAGTCTAGATGATGCACGCCATCTTCATCACTCTGCAATCACTGGGAAGCACATCTAGATGGAAGGATGGGAAGAGCTAGGGGTGAGAGGTCCATGTGGCTGCTTCTCTGGCTCCTGCAGGAGCAGTATCCTTTGCACACTGTTGGAGTATTCGCTTCTCCCAGAGCACGGTAAGGCAGCTTTGAGCCGTCAGTGTGGTCTTCCCAATAGGCTTCGGGTCTATGAAGATTGAATATCTGTTTCCATGACTACCCTGAGAGCAGAGGGAGGCACCAGCTGACTCCTCTGACTCCTTTTCCTCAAGCAAGTCCTCAAGAGCGTAGCTAGCGGGGCTTCTCCCATCGCAGGTTAGGACCACCACACCTGGCTACTAGGGGGCTCGACCAAAGAGAGGCTAAAAGTACAATCACTGCAAACCCAGAGCTGAGAGCCTTGAGCCCATCCCCAGGCAGGGACCAGGTTCTGACGTCTGCCTAAGAACCAGGAGGTAGGAAAGACAACAAGAACACAAAGAAGCAGCAGAAAAAGGACTTTTCAGGCTTCAGAGCCAAAATGTTTTCTCTAGTGCCTTCCTACCATCTAGCTCTCTCAGCCCATCATCACCCAGTAACTTAAGACACTGAGTATTTGCCTCAAGGAGGTATTTGGCTGGGCTGGGTCTGCCCCAGGTTCTCCTCACAGAGACACCCCAGAGTGCTCCCACCCTTACAGATTTCTGGGTGGATGACCCAGTGCATGCTTGTCCCACCCCCTGTCCCTCCACACACACCGTTTCTGGACCATTCACAGACACGCTTCTTGCACCCAGCCAGCCTATGTGGGTCAGGAAAGCACATCAGGCCCCTGTGTAGGCTGAGGTCCTTTCCGTAGGGTATCTCCTTCCAGGTCCTACACCCGAAGGAAAAGTGCTCTCTCGGCTTGACCAGCTCCATCACCCCCGCCTTGGTCTCCTTATGTCACTGCCCATTTACACCCCTGCTGTCGCCATGTTGGGATGAGGCAGGGACTGAGGCACGGCTGCTTCTATGACCTCCCACTGACCCCTCTGCTTTGACTCCTCCCCAGCTGTGGAGATGCCACAGGATAGACTTGAACTTCTCAGCTCAGTCCCCTGGGCTTCCTAAACAGGTCCATGAGCTCAGCCAAAACAAGAATGAATGTCAAGTTCTAGTTCCCCAAGACCTTGCCTGCCCAGACCCATCTCCCCAAAATAGAATCCAGTTCTTTATTCTTCAAGGAATCTCCTGGAGACTTCACAATCAAAGGATGGAAGGCACTTTGGGGTGTCTTAGCAACCAGGGGTGTAAGTAAGGATAAAGAGACTTCACCCCCTTGAGGGCTTGCATTTCCTCCTCTGTGAAGCCAGACCCTGCTCATCAGGACTAATATAAGCATCAGTGAGGCTGCTTCATGATGAGTCTTCTAGAAAGTTCAGCCATTGTCTGAGTGCATTCAATTTGCCCAATGGTTTGCATGCATCACCTCAGCAGAAATACCTGTGAGAGAGGCAGAGGAAGAAGGTTCAGCTCACAGGGAATCTGTGACTTTCTCAAGGTCACACAGCTAGTAAGCGGCATGGCTGGGTCATGACCCAAGTCTCCTGAACCTGGGGGCAGTGCTCTTTCTTACTGTGCCGTGAGGTTTCTTTAGCCCGAGGAGGGTCTGTGACGGTGGCTCTGCTTACCCCCTACACTTGTCTGTATTGTGGGAATGGGGCATTGAATCCAGCAGTCCTAAGATGCCCAGCCAAAGTGGGAGGCCCTATCCTGGGAAGAAACCACCTTCAAGGCCAAGAGGAAGAATTAGCCACGCTCGAGGCTGGTCACACTGTGAAGCGACAATGAAGTTTTCCAGAACTCTGTACACTTGAGTTCACTTAATCCCTTGACAGAAGGGGCCCCCGCCTCCCACCTTCTTATCTGGTTTCAGAGTTAATGAGCTCAGACAAAGGGGGCTTTCTGAAAGGAGGGACCACCTCGGAAGAGGCCATTAACTCTGTCTGCATCGGGCTGCCTCCGATTGTTGCCTGGACGAAGCTGCCGCAGGAAAGCTGTGAGTGGCGGGCTGGGCCGTGCCCCACGGCGGACTCGAAATCCGTCCCGCCAGTGTATCAGCTGAACTCTGAACTCTCTGCTGAGCAGAGAGGGTCCGGGGAATGGCACTCCTCAATCCCAGAGACCAGAGGATCCCCAAGATGTCAGGCTACCAGCAAGTGATTTCAGGGAAGGGTTAAATCCCAGCCATTCCGTCTCCCCCTTACCCATGTCCTCTGGGAAAATGTCTCCCACAAGCCCTAACACTAAAGGGACCACATCTCCCAGCACAGTCGCCGTTTAGGCCTGTTCTGGCATGATTATTAATAGCATCATCTTCGCTCTCAAAAGCGTCCTGGTTTGGATAGTGACAGAAGCAGACGCATGCCCCACTTGCTCTGTAGCTACCTACATCCTCATGGGGGAAAGACTTGTATTCTATCCGTGTGTGAACTCTGTTCCCCTCCTGGCAAGAGAATGAGTCTTTTCTGTCTCTTTTGTCTGCTCCAGTCAGAAGGACCAACAATATGAAGCTTTTCCCAAAGAAAATGCCTTAATATTCAAAGGTCTTTGATTTACCACCTCTGCCTCCGCAGGTGTAGACAATGCCAGGGGAAAGCTTGCTTGCTGGCGTGCTTTGGGTTTGTTTTGGCTATGCCATAGTTGTCTTGTAGCAGCAAGGAGAGGTGGCAGCCAGTGTGGTGATTAAGAGCATATACTTTGAAGGGTCCTCGAAATAAGCTGAGTGTCCTTGAGCAAGTTACCGATTTCTCCGCACCTTGATTTCTTCACCAGCAAAACAGGAACAGTTATACCAACGTCCCAGCATTACCCTGAGGATACAATAAAATATGGAAAGCACCTGACCCGGTGCCTGGCACATAGTAGGTGCTCAATAAAGCGTAGCTAATCGTGGAGTTGCCTTTTGTGATGGCGTTTGTCAGAGTAGGACGTGCCTTCACAGTCGGCCCATTGCCATGTCAACTCCGCGGTCCTACGCGGCAGGGAGGCCTTCCTTTTCAGCTTGCTTGGCTCAGGGTGTTTAAGCTTGACTCCTTGTGGCGTGTGTAGTTTTGGAGAGGTGACATTGCCCCTTGCTATTTTGAGAATGAGGAGAGATGAAGGACATCGGTGCAGGACCCTCTCTTTTCTCCAATTGCTTCTTTACTCTTCTTGGCTCCTCCACCACCTCCTCAGCAGTCTTGGGCCCTAGAAGGACTCCCAGTAGCAAAAGTGCGGCACCAGTTGCTGAGGTCAGAAGGTTTCCAGGTGGCCACTCTTCTCCTCCTTGCCTCTCCCAGGCATGCTGCAAGGAGAAGCGATGGGAATCACAGTATGAAGAGCAAATGAGCAAAGCATAGGGATGACACTCTGAGCAGAAGGAGCTGCTAGAAATGCATTTGGCCCAGGCCCAGACTTCTAGACTCCCCCCAGAGTTGGCTTTGGCTGCCATGGGAGCTCTGGGGGAGGAATGTCCCTAGTTGTATCACAAAGAATCAAAGAGGGCTGTGTCCCAGCCTAGCTGCCTAGGGCATTTCTTTCTCTTCTTCAGGTCATAGGGGCACCAGTGAAGAAGGAGACTCCCTTAAAAAATGCCGTGTCTTGTAACACCCACTGCTCATTCCATCAAGTGCCCTCCTTAATGCCCATCACCCAGTTACCCCATGGTCCCACCCACCTCCCCTCCAGCAACCCTCAGTTTGTTTCCTAGAGTTAAGAGTCTCTTATGGTTTGTCTCCCTCTTTGATTTCGTCTGATTTTATTCTCCCCTCCCTTCCCCTATGATCCTCCATCTTGTTTCTTAAATTCCATATATGAGTGAAATTATATGATAATTGTCTCTCTCTGATTAAAAATCCATGGTAATTTGAGAGAGAAGGTATAGAAAAGAAAGTTATTTGCACCAGACTGAATTCCTGATTCAGGAGACTTATAAAAAAACAGTCAAAACAATCTTAGTTCTGAAGACGATAGGCAATAAACTAGACAACTTTTACTTTTGGCATTTGTTAATTTTACTGCCAGAATTTGATTATATTTAGTATGAATATAATTTTTATGATACGTTATAATAATCATTATTGATCCAGTGAAGTTATAATCAGATGTATGATGGTATAATTGTCTCCAGGTTAAAATAGAGCATGACCTTGGTAAGCTATTCAACTTGTATGTCTACGATATCACTGTACCCTCCACGATCTTAATATCTTTGTTCCTTTTCATGCACATTTCTCTTGGTGTAATATGCAGCAAATGAATACACAGAAGCCTATGTGAGCCTGTCAATATATTCTTTCCAACCCAGTTTAGAAAAAGAGTAGACATTATCTTGATTTGCTCAATCTTTCTATTAAATACACGAACTGAGAGTGTTTAAACTTCTCAACATCTGGTTCGTGGCAAAGACAAAAAAAAAAAAAAAATGCCGTGTCTTTTCCTAATGAGAATTAAGGGCATGAGGTCCCCAAGTCATTCAAGAGCAGGGTTGTTTGACCACCCCTGGCCAGGCTGGCCATGGGCTCCCACCTACCTGACGTGGTTCTTGGAGGTTGTCTGCTGTGCTGGGGCCCCCACTCCACCAGGGGCACCATCTTGTTCACATTCTTCAGCAAGCAGCCCACACTTGGGTGGTGCACAAAGAAGTATAAATAGACACCAGGTGGTGGAGTGAGCCATCTGACCTTCTCCTCGACTGGCTCCTGAGCCCTCTCTCTGTGGAACTGTAAGTCAAGCCTGGCCTTTTGGCCCAGGGTACTGCCGAGGCTCGGAGGCTCACAGACTCTCTCGGCCACTGCCCCCCCGCCCAGGTCCCTCCCCCAAGGGAACTGTAAGATGCACTGCAAATGTCAGACATTCCTCCCATGGTTTCTTAGAGGAGCTAACAGTGGGGATAGCAGTGCTTCCCACCTCCAAAACCTCAGCGAGACAAGACGAAAGGGGAGGTGAGCAGGACCAGGATTGGAGACTTTAACAGAAACATTGGACCACATAGACCTTGCAGCTCTCTTGCAGTGGAAATTGTCTTCTGAAATAGCAACCAGAAGACATCCAAATGCTCTCAACTCTAACCGTCTGCCTTGAAGGGAAATGGCCCTCAAGCCCGCTCAGCCTGACAGGTATTTAGTGTCCGGAGAAGATGCTCTGAGCTCCCGGAACCGCAAGGGAGGCTCCCTGAAAATCCTAATGTCGGGAAGCCTCCCCTGGTGCCTCACCTCGTTCCTTTGCGCAGAAATTGACACCCGTGTGCCTTTGGCTTTCATTGGGGGCGTGGCCAGTGCATGGTCCCCACTCAGCCGCGTTGCCCCAGAGCCTCAGTCTGATCTGGTCAGCTTGAGAACACTGAGCCCTCTTAAACCTCAAGCCTGCCAGGACTGATGCTGAGCAGCTGATATCTCTTGTGGTCACACCTTCTTTGTAAAACATCGTCTCCCCAATTTTGAGATTGTGAAACTGGGACTCAAAGGGAAGAGATCTTGTGAGGAGAGTGACAGGTTGCCTCTGAAGAAATTCCAGGGCTTGGTCCCTGGCCCATCAGATTTGACCCTTCCTGGGGCAAGAGAGCAGGAGACTCTGTCTGCCCCCTGGAAACAGCGAAGGCCTGGCCAGGAAGTAGTCTCAGCGAGCTCCCATTCCTCAGCCCTCACCCCCAGTTGCATAATGATGTGATTGCTTTTCTCCCTCAGGAATCCAGCTCTAGGAGCAAGCGCCAAGTTTCAGCTTTGCTGATAAGATGTTTACATCAGCCTAAACATAGCTAGAGTGCTTGACACGCTAAGAAACCTGCCAACCGTTGTTTGTAGGGCTTACAAAATACTTGGCTTGTTGCCCACGAGGTGAACAGACAGATCCCATTCACAAATAATAGGATTCGTCTGGAACTCCCACACATGGCCTCAACTGACGGAGTGTCCCTCTTTAGCCTTTCACCCTCTTTTCCCCTCCTTCCCCTCCTACCTTCCAGACCACAGGAGAGAAAAAAGAAAGGCTGACGGGAGATGGTGCCCTAGGGAACGGGGAGCGGGGGCAAATGAATGGCAGCTTGGCTGGCCACACTCCCAGCTGAAGGCCTGCGTGCCCCTGCCCCTTTCTTTCCTGCAAAACAATCCAAGAGGACTCACTTCTAGAGGTCCCTGAGGCAGGAGAGTGAGCTCCATCTGGCTGCCTCCAAAGCCTTGGGAGTAGTTGGCAACCCAGGGATAGGACAGAGGCCAAGCAATGATGTGAACTCCTTCAGCTGGTCTGGGCAAAACTGGAAGCAGGGGTGATCCTCAGTGCCTGGATCTCATTAGGCCCACTGCCCCCTCTCAAGCCCGTGGCAGAAAGGAAGAACCCTTTCAGGGTCATCCAGAAACCCAGCAGTCAAGCCCTGGGAAACTTCGTTTGGAGAGTGTAGGCTTCACAGACAGACGTGCCTGGGCCGGTGTCCTGGCTTTAAGAGTTGTAAGACCTTAGACAGCTTGTTTAACTCGTGTGAACCTCTTCTCCCTCATTTGTAAGACCGGGATGACAATGCCTGCTTCACAGAGTGAGTGTGAGTGTTTAATGAGGTGCAGGTCTGGTGACGGGGGCAGACTAACTATTAGTGACTACTGGAACGATTTCAGGGTTAACAGGGCCCATCCTGCAGAGTAGAAGTTACCCCAGCAGGCATCAGGAAAATGCTCCACTGGATTCTAAGGGACACATTCTACTAACCTTGAACACTCAAATAATTGCTCCTGGGCTGAGAACAGAGAGGGGATGGGGCGGGGGCAGGGGGCGGGGGGGGCTGGCAGGGAGTTGCTTGGTGTCAGAGTTAAGGCAGAATAATAACCAGTGCAGTCCAGTAGGACCTTCTGGTGATGATGGAAATGTCCTGTCTGCTCCGTTTAATACAGAAGCCTTGAGCTATAGGTGGCTACCGATGTACTTGAAACCTGGCCAGTGTGACCAAGGCACTGTAATTTCCATTTTATTGAATTTTAACTGACTTCGATTTACACAGCCTCATGTGGCTGGTCGAGATGTTAAAGGCACAAGCCTTGGAGGCCGGCCATCTGGGTTCAGGGGCTGGCTGTACACTCATTAGCTTTGGGATCTTGGGCCAGTTACGGAGCCTCCATGTTCTTATATGTAAAATGAAGGGAAATAATGCCGGGACCTCCGGGGTGTTGTGAGTCTTCAGCAAGATGCTTTATCTCCAGCGCTCAGTGCAGAGCCCGGCACACGGAGCGGGGCGGCAGCGGGCAGGCAACGGGCCGGGAGATCGAACCCCTCCCTCCCCCTGCTCCCATCTTCCCGACAGAACCACATCCTGACGCTGATGTCCGTGGCAGCCCGAATCTACAAGCACCCCAGCATTAGAAATTCCATCAATCTCATGGTGGTAAAAGTGCTGATCGTGGAGGATGAAAAGTGGGGCCCAGAAGTGTCTGACAACGGGGGGCTCACCCTGCGCAACTTCTGCACTTGGCAGCGGCGTTTCAACCAGCCCAGTGACCGGCACCCAGAACACTTTGACACAGCCATTCTGCTCACCAGACAGGTCTGTGGGCTAGCTCCAGAGAGCCCAGGCAGGAAGGGAGGCGGGATGGCGCATCAAAGGGAGGACCACGAGGCCTGCGCAAACATGGGAAATGTCTCCCCGCTGGCCCCAGCTAGACGCCAGGAGCCTCGTGTGTGGAATGATGAGGGCGAGGTCATGAGGACAAGTGTGAGGTATTTGCAAGGGAAGGAGAGGAATCTCGTAAGGCCTCTTTTCCAAAAGTTTGTGACCAGCTGTCTGCTGAGGTCATAACAAGAGGAAATGGGTTCAAACTGCCCAGTAAAAGATCTTGAGTTGGAATGTAGAGAGAAGGTCCATCTACAATGACTGTTAAACACAGAAGCAGGGAGCTGGAGGTCACCTTGAGATTTCTCCAAATCAGGAGGCCTGCCCTCCTAGCTGGTGCAATTGAAACAGATAGCTTCCCGAAGGCTGGAAAATCTAATAATATGTGCTGCCCTGTTGACGCCTTTAGTCCTCGGGACAACCCCACCAAGCCCCATTTTACAACTCAGGAGACTGAGGCATAGATTGCCCCCACACACACAGGGGGTCATAGTCAAGCCTAGGCCGTCTTGCTGCAGGGTCCGTACTCTTCAGCACTGTGCTATCCTGCCTCCCAAAACAAGCCAGCCCTAGGACATGCCAACTCTAGGACACAAAGTCCCAGCCAGCCCTAGGACACACCTGTGTAGAAAAAGAAATGGGCTTCCTCACACAAGTGGCCTTTGTGAGGAAATAAGGCCTTTGGCTTACAAATTTTCCTTCAGGGGCACCTGGGTGGCGCAGTAGGTTCAACGTCCGACTCTTGATTTCCGCTCGGGTCATGGTCATGGGGTTGTGAGATCGAGCCCCGTGTCAGGCTCTTTGCTGGGCATGGAGTCTGCTTGAGATGCTCTCTCATCCCCTCCCGCTGCCCCTCCCCCTCCCTCACTCTCCCCCTCTGTAAAAAAAAAAAAAATTTCCTTCAACTTAGGAGAAGCAGAAATAGGAAGATTTTCTGTTGTATATCTGTTCTCATGCCCTCACTCTCTCTGCCAAGCAGAACTTCTGTGGGAAGGAGGGGATGTGTGACACCCTGGGCGTGGCGGACATCGGCACAATCTGCGACCCCAACAAGAGCTGCTCCGTGATCGAGGATGAGGGGCTCCAGGCGGCCTACACCCTGGCCCATGAGCTAGGTAAGACTTGCCATGCCAAGCCTACTGTATTCTGTCAGGGGGGAACTGCCTCTTCCAAATCCAGGCCAGCCCAGGGTCTAAGGAAGATGCAGCTCTCACACTTGGCCAGGTTCTACTCAGAGTTCTGACAGAGTGATTATATGTAAATAGATACTGTACTTTCTCCATTCCCACCCTGAACATGAGGCCATAATATTAAAATAGGGTCTTGGATCATCATCAGGGGTCCCCAGGAAAATGCCAAAATGAAAGAAATGCTCGGGTAAAGTTGCGATGCTTTGCCCAAGCTAAGCAGTCACAGTAAGAATTCTGGGGAAATCTATTGTAAAGAGAGTGCTGTGTCAGGGAGTGAATCACTGAGGACAGGCTGAGGCAGAAAACAAAGGGCTATCAAGGTTCCCCCAGTACTCTGAGAAAGTTTTCTGCAAGAGAAAAGCCCAGAGTGAAGCCCCAAACAAAAATCTTTAAGGGGGCGCCTGGGTGGCTCAGTTGGTTAAGCAACTGCCTTCGGCTCAGGTCATGATCCTGGAGTCCCGGGATCGAGTCCCACATCGGGCTCCCTGCTCAGTGAGGAGTCTGCTTCTCCCTCTGATCCTCCCCCTCTCATGCTCTCTGTCTCCCATTCTCTCTGAGATTAAAAAAAAAAAAAAAATCTTTAAGGAAGAAGGGCATGGCCATCCCCATGAGGAGCTGGTGACTGGTTGGCCCGAGACTCCCTCTTCTGTCAGCGGAGGGTGGCTGTCTCCCCAGAGAGAGGGAGAGGGGTGCTGGGCTGTGTGGGGAGCTCTTGGGGTGGGACAGGGCAGGCTGGAGGGCAGTGGAGACTGGTTAGGGTGGACTTCAGGTCTCTCTCCACCCCAGGGCACGTCCTCAGCATGCCCCACGACGACTCCAAGCCCTGCGCGCGGCTCTTTGGGCCCATGGGCAAGCACCACATGATGGCGCCGCTCTTCGTCCACCTGAACAAGACGCTGCCTTGGTCTCCCTGCAGTGCCATGTACCTCACGGAGCTCCTGGACGGTGGGCACGGTGGGTGTCCCGCAGGCTGCTCCCTGCCTCTTTCTGGCCCGCTGCTGGTGTTTGAGGTCTGCCCCACCCGCCTCCATGATGGCGAGGGTGCCGGTGGCACGTGTGCAGCTTCTGGTGGAGCTCCTTCACGGAGCATCAGAGGTGTCTCGGATAGAACAGATGTCGGACAGGTGTTCCTCACCCAGCCTCGCCCTGTGCCATGGCAGGCTAGGGGGATGTGCCCCTCCCCACAAAGCGTACTCTTCCTTGCCCTATCTTCCAGCAGACAGCGTGGCTGGGCTAATTTAGATGACTAGTCCCAGAGCCGGTAGAATTAGTCTGAGAAGGTCTGTCTGGAGGAGGTGGGTTTGAACAGAGCTCGAAGGAATGGAAGAACGCAGTACAGAGGAGAGAGGGAGCATCCCGGCTGGAGAGATAGATCATGCTGTAGCTTAGGAATGGCAAAGAGGCAGGGAACAGGTCAGTGTGACAGCAAGGGTGGGGGATGGGGGTGGGTGGCATGCCGGGTTAAAACCATTGGACTTACTCAGTAAAGCAGTGAAAACACAACTTACTCTTGATTGTTCTCATCGAACGAGACAGGGACACCTAAGAGACAAAAGTAATAGATTATCCAAACATCAGTACTTAGGCTTTATTTTGCCTGCCATGGTTTTTGAGAGCGCATTTGCATCCCCCGTTATATGTGCCGTAGATTAGTATTACAGTTAGCTGGCATTCCCTAGGTACACGCTGAATGTATATAAGATGTTCTGGATAACAAAAAAAAATTCAATCCTAATAAAATTTTACTTAACTGATAGTCAAAAATTGGATAAGCTCATGTAGATGATTGAGTGTTGAGTTTTTAGCTTATGGTCAAAGAAATTCTGATGGCTAGGTCTTACACCCCATCAGTAGGAATTTAAGTGTAATGTGGGAGGCCACTGGAGAGCTGAGAGAGGGAAACCCCCGCTCCTCATTCTCGTTCCTCTGCTTTCCTCCATTTCTCAGGAGACTGTCTCCTGGATGCCCCCACCTCGGCCCTGCCCCTGCCCACAGACCTGCCAGGCCGCAGCGCGCTCTATGAGCTGGATCAGCAGTGCAAGCAGATCTTTGGGCTGGGTTTCCGCCACTGCCCCAACACCTCTGCACAGGACATCTGCGCCCAGCTCTGGTGCCACACGGGTGGCACCGAGCCCCTTTGCCACACGAAGAACGGCAGTCTACCATGGGCTGATGGGACGCCCTGTGGGCCTGGGCACCTCTGCTGGGATGGCAGCTGTCTGCCTGAGGAGGAAGTGGACAGGCCCAAGGTGAGGGATGGCCACTTGGGGGTGTGGGAGGAGAGGGAGGGGGAGGGCTGTTTTCAAGGAAGAAACCACACTTGAGAGCCACGAACTAAGAGACTTTGGGCCAGGCTGCAACTATGACGTCTAAGTAAAATCATTCGTCTTTTAACAAACAAAGCAAAGCATATTTACCCAAACTCAAGAGGAGCCCTTCGAGGCTGGACTCAGAGCAGACGGACGACACCACCAGTGCTCAGGGCCTTCTGAGAACTCCCCCTTTGGAATTGTTTTGGGGCGGACCAGAAGGCTTATGAGGATAGGTGATAGGCATGAAGCATTCCAGCACAAAGATCAGATCGTGGCCATTCAATAAAGGGAGGCCATTATGAATTCCATTATAAACAGATAGTGTGATGGCAGAAGAGGAACATTCAGGCAAGAGCTGAGGGAAAAGTATTCATAACCTACCCATGTCTGAGCTGCGTTCATCTTCAGAGGTCAGGAGAATGAGACTACTTGTGGGAATTCCATACTCAGGAGGGGAGAAGGAATCAAGCTGTCTCTGACCAGGCAGAGAAAACTTGGCCTAGGACTGAGGAAACTTAGAAGAAAAACCAAGGCAATGCCAGCGAGAGTTTTTAAATGATTCGTTTCTTTGCCCTGCTCTTAATACTTCCAAACTGTGAGGCTGATCACATTTCTCTTACTGCAAGTCACTAAGCCCTGCCTATGAAACAGCATCCGCCGAGTTTCGCAGCCCGGTCTGGGCCCAGCACTGAATCACCAGGGTGGCCTGAGCACTCATTCTCCAGAGGGCTGTCCTCAGTGGCATGTCCTTTGCACTGAGGCTCAGGATCCTGCTTGGGCCAGGTAAGCCACACTCTTGCTAAGCTTGAACCAGGGCAGGATTCACAGATTCATCCTCAGCCACTTCTCATCCTCCCCATTCAGACACTGAGTTTCTTTTCCGTGTACTGACTCCCTCTACCCCCGTCCAAAGCACGTGCTTCATACATTACTGAGGGGAGGGGAGGAGGTCTGTCCAACATTCCTCGGCACCAGAGCCAAGCTCAATGCAGGGAGAGTTTGACATGGAATGATCATGGGATGATGTTTATCATCTATTTTTAAGGGCAAAAAACAGATCATAAAACACTATATATATATGACAGAATCATAACTATGTAAAATTAAAACATCACATCTTTATGATTATTCAGAGCAAAAGCGTGAGAGGTTATTGATGAAAATCACATCAGTGGTTTTATTTGGGGAGTGGTTTTTTTAAGTGTTGGTTTCCTTTTTTATACTTTTCTGTATTTTTCATTTTTTATATAAGCAACTTTTGTCATTTTTTAAAATTATTTCCCTTTTGAAAACTCTGTGAACCAGTCAAGGGCAAAGCTTACTTCTCATAGGTTGATTGTAAGGATGGAAGCAAATCTGATTATTTCCCAGGCATTATCCTACCATTGGAACTGGTAGCTGGTAGATCAATAGCAACAGTTCCCAGCAATTATTCCTTTAAAGCAGGACTTCTCAACCTCTGCACTAGAGACATTTGGGGCTGCATGAGTCTTGGTTGTAGGAGGCTGTCTTCTTCATTGTTGGATGTTCGTTGTTGGATGCTCATTGTTGGGTGCTCATTGGTGGATGTTTGTAGTTGGATGCTTGCTGGGTGCTCATTGTTGGATGCTCATTCTTGGGTATTCATTGTTGGGTGCTCATTGTTGGAATCTCATTGTTGGATGCTCATTGTTGGATGTTCACTGTTGGATGCTCATTGGATGCTGATTGTTGGATGCTCATTGTTGGAGGTTCATTGTTGGATGCTCATTGTTGGATGTTCATTGTTGGGTGCTCATTGTTGGAATCTCATTGTTGGATGCTCACTGTTGGATGTTCACTGTTGGATGCTCACTGGATGCTCATTGTTGGAGGTTCATTGTTGGGTGCTCATTGTTGGATGTTCACTGTTGGATGCTCGTTGTTGGATGTTCATCGTTGGATACTCATTATTGGGTGCTCATGGTGGGTGTTCATTGTTGAATGCTGCTTGTTGAATGTTTAGCAGCACCCAACCTCTACCCGCTAAAGGCCAGCAGCATGCGCCCTCCCCAACTGTGACAACCAAAATGTCTTCAAACATTGCCAAATGTCCCCAGAGGATAAAAATGGCCCTGATGGAGAACTGCTGCATTAGACACAACTTTATTCCCATAAAATGTTGTTTCATTCAACAACTAATACTGAGCACCTTACTAATGGCAAGGCACTGTTTTAGACACTGGGAGGTCAGCAGTGAAGAAGTCCAGCACATCCTCTGTGTTCAAGAGGCCAATCGCCAAGCAAGCCACACAGTCACTAGCAAATGATTAGGGCAGTTTACTGAACAACACCCACCAGGATGAGCATAACTAGGTGAGGAGGTCAGGGCCAGGGACCCCTGTTACACTGAGAGCTGAGCCTCCCCCCCCACCCCGCCCCGCTCCTGACTCAGGGTGGCCTTGTGTGTTGCAGGCTGTGGTGGATGGAGGCTGGGCCCCATGGGGACCCTGGGGAGAGTGTTCCCGGACCTGCGGAGGAGGAGTACAGTTTTCACACCGTGAATGCAAGGACCCTGAGCCTCAGAACGGAGGAAGATATTGCCTGGGTCGGAGAGCCAAGTATCAGTCGTGCCACACAGAGGAATGCCCCCCTGACGGTAATCGCCACTGATGGTCACTACTGTTGTCACTGCAGCAGATCCCCAGACAAGAAGTAGGGTGGGTCTCCCAGGATGCAGAGCTTTCCTGTGAGCCAGACATAAAGGGACCCTGCAAGGCACCAAATTTTAAGGCAAAGCCTAGTGGCCCCTAGACAACTCTCACTGTGCTGGGAGAGTGTAGCAAAGTCAAGGAAAGAAATTGCCCCGATCTTCCAAGATGTGGAAATAGAGGATGTCATTCCCAACCAAACTTATTCAGGGAGTTGGGAGGAGCTCAGCAGAGGAGCTAGAGTCTAGGATAATAATCCTCCTGGAGGCATCTGAACCCTTGTCTGTGTGCAGAATAGAAGTGTTTTCCAAAGCAAGTGTCAGAGCCAAACCTCCACTGTCTTTCCAGCCAACATTCAGCCCAGGGTGGAGGGAGGGTTTTTGAATCTGATTCTAACGCACATTCCTTCTGAAAAGAGTTGCCCATCTTCCCTTGAGGCTGTGGCAACTGCCTGATGGAACCTTAACAGAGAGCAGCACCGCCCCTACCTCCCCTTGGCATACATTCCTACCTCCTAGTACCCACTAGAAAGCACACACATTAACTCAGAGGCAGCAGGGGTAGCAGCAAAACTGGTGAGAGGGAATCATTAGCAGTTTTTCCCCACCATCCCATCCAGCTCCCCTTTGTGCAGCTCCAGGAAATACTGGCAGACGGCAAAAGACATGCAGAGTTTTAAGAGAGATGCATCCAAGTGCAAAGACACACTGACACTGGGTTGGTGTCTAATGAGGGAATCTGTAGGCTTTGCAGTTTTGCAAGACAAGAAGGATCGGCAGCGGCATGCAGCTCTAGAAACTTTGCCCTGGAATCGTGAGAATTTGCCTGGCACATGGGGTGAAGAGAGAGAGAGAGAGAAGAGGGGAAGGGATGAAGATAAGGCACAAGGTAGACGGAATGATTTCAGTTGCACTGGGATCAGCCTCTCCATCAACAAGTGGTTTTTAGTGCCTCTCGTGTGGCTCAAACTATAATAGATGTTACAAATGACATTGTAAAAATGCACAAAGCATGGTCTCTGTCCTCAAAGAACTTGCAATCTAGTTAGAGATCCACATGCCTTTTACAAAGCAACTAAAGCCCTAAGCTCTGAGGCCCGGACCCCCGGCTTATGAAGAATTCAGAGCAAGGAAAAGCCTGGGCTAGTCCGAAGCGTCACAGGAATTTAGGGCTGAGCAGGGCCTGGAGGATGGAGATGGTGACGGGGTGTGGGAGGACATGTGCCCGCGTGGAGATGGGGGGGCTTGAAAGGGGCTAGCATTCACTTGGGTGGAGTCAAGCAGCATACTAGCATTTTAAGGCTACACAGCAAAGGTCTGTGAAAGCTGAAATGGTATCTGGAGGTTCTCCGTGCAGGCTGTCCCATCATGTCACTGGGAAGCTTGTTGAAACACAGCATTCCCAGACCGCTCAGGTGCACTGAATCGGAATCTTAGGAGTAGGGCATGGCCATCTGTGTTTTGAAAAGTCTCCATAGGCCGTGCAGAGATGCAGGGGTAGAAAACCTCAGTAGTAAGAGCAGGTTTAATTTCAGGATTGTGGGCCAAAAAAAAAACCAAAAAACCCATTTCTTACTTCTGACAGATTGTTCTGGAAGCAGCATGCAGCAGGATGGGAGAGGAGGCTGGGCACTAGGTCTCACATGAAACTGAGAGGCCTGGGCTTGTGGGAGGTGGACTCAGATGGTGAGAGTGGGAAGGAGACACTTAAAATCGCAGATTGTCATAAATAGAGTGTAGGACTTAAGGACAGGTTGGAAATAGTCGATGCAGATACTCAAGTGTTCCGCAGATATCAGATGCCAATCTCACACCAGAATGTGGCAGTATCCCCAAATGAAAACTAAACCAGTTCGTGGAGGAGCCATATGGGGTTAGGCTTTTTCTGAGCTGAAGGTAATCATCCTGCTATACATGGAGGTCCCCCGGAGACATCCAGAATTACAGCAGGTGAGTTACAGGGGCAGGATCAGAACTAGAGATGTCGATCTGAGAGTTTGGGTCACCAGTTAAATGTCATGAAGGAAGTCAAAATCGAGCATGATTAGCAGGGGCCCAAAAATATACTCCACGCATCATTCAAGCTTACTGAATGGTCCTCTGTTCCTACTAAGTTTATTCATCTGTAAGATAGAATTGGTATCTTCCCCCAAATGGAAAGGATATTTATCCCAGAAAGCCCAGCTTGAGGCTGGATGCTCCTTTCCTTGCCACATGGACCTAGGTCGGGCATGTCTAGGAATGTTGGGCCCAGATGACACTGAACCGATGTCCTGGGATTGGGTCAAAACCAGGAGGAAGAAAGGGGCCCTGAAGCTGGCATTTCTGCCACTGGGTCCTCTCTGCTTCAGCAAGGCATGTTAACTGCATGCCGTTTCTTACTCTTTGTAGGGAAAAGCTTCAGGGAGCAGCAGTGTGAGAAGTATAATGCCTACAATTACACTGACGTGGATGGGAACCTCCTACAGTGGGTCCCCAAGTATGCGGGGGTGTCCCCCCGGGACCGCTGCAAGTTGTTCTGCCGAGCCCGGGGAAGGAGTGAATTCAAAGTGTTCGAGGCCAAGGTAAGAGCCCTTCTGGAGCTCAGAACCACAGGTGGGGAGGAAGGCCACCTGCTCCGACCCCGCCTGTGGGTGGCCTCTGTGCACACCATGCCCTCTGTTACCTTCTGCTTCCCTGCTGCAGGTGATCGATGGCACCCTGTGTGGACCAGAGACTCTAGCCATCTGCGTCCGTGGCCAGTGTGTCAAGGCTGGCTGTGACCACGTGGTGGACTCGCCTAGGAAGCTGGACAAATGTGGGGTGTGTGGGGGCAAAGGCAATTCCTGCAGGAAGGTGTCCGGTTCCCTCAACCCCTCCAGGTGAGTCTCACCATAGTTCTGTGCCTAGGTTCCAGAAGAGCGGAACAGGCTTTAGAATCAGACTGGCCTAAATGCGAATTGTGGCGGCTACTTATTACCCATGCGGCCCTGAGCTGTAGTTTCTTTGTAAAGCTTTGGGAGTCCCCTCTATCTCGGAATCATCATACTGAGTCATGAGACGGGCGGAACGCTTGGCACAAGGTCTGGCCCACAGAGAGGACAGTGCACAGGGCAGCCAGCGGCCCTGAGGATAGGGGTGTATCAGCTCTGAGTCAACCAGCAATAGAGCTATGCTGAGTAACCAGGGCCCTTGCCAGAAAGCGGCTCTTCCAGGCCTGTTTTGGGAAGGACATCTCACCCTACACCTGGTGAGTCCCATCCTTTCTGCAGGTGGATCTTTCAAAAAGGGGGTCCAAAGAGGGGGGTCTTGGTGGCCTTAGTGCTTTCATGAACCTGAGAACTCTGGATGCTTTCGCACACCTGAACACCATATGTTCATGAAACCCCTAGTACTGAAATGCTTGCATTTCTTTTTTTTTTCTTAAGTGCTTTCATTTCTATGGCCTCATTTGATTCCTAAAATAAGTCCAGCAGGTAGCCAATACTGTTATTCCCCATTTACAGATGAAGAAATCAAGGCACAAAAAGATCACATGACTCTCCTGAGGTCACACTGATAGTTAACGACAGCCAGGAAGAGAGCCCAGATGTCTTAATTCCTGGGCTGGTTTTCTCCTGCCATGGCACACAGTTCCTAGAGAGGAAGGGCCAGGGCATATGTTACGTGGCCACACTGTGCTCCTCTCTGTCTCTCGCCACCTCTCACCTTGTCGGCCTCAGAGAACAGAACCAGCCCACAGCAGACAGCTTGGCAGTCTTCAAAGCTAAACGCAAAGGATAGAGAAAAAAGAAGCATGTGGTGTGGGATATTCAGATAGCAGGTCTGCTAGCTGGCTTTCTCTTAGGCATTAGACATATGGGGCTGTGGATTCTTTCAGAGCCACCCTAGACTCAGCAGCTAGCTGAGTGGGCAGAAGGCAAGAGTAGCAGAGAACCGACCTCCTGTCCTCAATCTTCTTTGTTTTCCTCCCGGCCTATGTAATCCAAACACTTCTGCCCCAGAAGAGAAGAATAAAAACTAAGGTTTCTCCATCCCACGTAAAGCTCTAGACCTACAACAGAGTTGAAACACAGAGGAAGGCAACCAGAAGCAGCTTTATCGCCCTGGCTCCTGCCCTGGGGCCATGTTAACCAAATACTAGGGGCTGATTGGCTCTAAGAGGTGGAGTGAGATGTCCACTCTGGTCGGATTCTGGGACTGGTGTGGGGAGCAGATTTTTCCACATGGGTTTGAACTCTGGGTATGAAGGGGGCCAAGCAAAGGCTTATACCCGTGCAGGGAGCTAAGTGTGTTTGAGATCTCCCTTGAGCCCAGAGCTGTCGGCTTTGGCAGCACTGATGCGGTTTTGCAAGCCCTTCTGGGATGTCTTCCTCTGTGCTGATATCCAGATCCACACATCCGAACTCCACACATTTGAAGCAGAGTTACCAGGCAAAGCAAAAACCCTTGAAAATCCCAATGTACAAAACATTCTTGTCGGCCCCAGCAGCTAAGTTATGTGGAACTTTGGGGCAACCACTTGCTGATTTGCTAGCGCTTTGTGACCGCCCACCCTAGTCACCAACATGCTAACTTGCTGAGGCGCTGGGCTGGGTAGCCACTGGTCCTCAGGGGCTCTTTCTGTCCCTACCATAGTTACGGCTACAACGACATTGTCACCATCCCGGCCGGGGCTACTAACATTGATGTGAAACAACGAAGCCACCCGGGGGTCCAGCACGACGGCAGCTACCTGGCGCTGAAGACGGCCGATGGGCAGTACCTGCTCAATGGAAACCTGGCCATCTCTGCCATAGAGCAGGACATCTTGGTGAAGGGGACCATCCTTAAATACAGCGGTTCCATTGCCACCCTGGAGCGGCTGCAGAGCTTCCGGCCCCTGCCCGAGCCTCTGACCGTGCAGCTCCTGACTGTCCCTGGTGAGGTCTTTCCCCCCAAAGTCAAATATACCTTCTTCGTTCCAAATGACGTGAACTTCAGCACACAGAACAGCAAAGAGAGGGCAACCACCAACGTCATCCAGCCCCTGCTCAATGCGCAGTGGGTCCTGGGGGACTGGTCTGAGTGCTCCAGCAGCTGCGGAGCTGGCCGGCAGCGGCGGACCGTGGAGTGCCGGGACCCCAACGGCCAGGCCTCCGCCACCTGCAGCGAGGCTCTGAAACCCGAGGACGCCAAGCCCTGTGGAAGCCAGCCGTGCCCGCTGTGATCCCTGGAGGGGGGGGGTGGGGGGGCGGGGGGCGGGGCCGGTCTCGTGCTCATGGACTCGGGGTGCTGGGGCGCAGACCGGAGCACCCACTGCGGTGACTCGACCTATGGAGGCGGCACGGCCTACCCAGGCCTGCCATTGCCACAGCCACTCCAATTTGGTGTGAATTCACGATGGGGAGACGAGAATGGGGACAACAGATCCTAAAGTCTACTATCCGGCGGGTTGGACCTAGTGCGGGTTCAGGTAGAGGGTATAGGTGAAAAGGTAAAAAAAAAATGCACTTATTGACCCAAACAGGAGACTCAGCCTGTTTGCAAAGGACTAACAGAGTTAAATGAAAAAAAATTTTTCCTGTTTGGTTTCCCCGATAAATAATCTACCTCAGAGGGGAAAAACATTAGTAAAAGAGAGGTGCAGAGTGGGGAAGTCGATGATGAATGTCAAAGCGCCATAGCTGTGCCCCCGAGCTGTCTTCAAAAATGAATGTGACTGTCCTCGGTATTAAAATCCATCGCCTGCAGGGCTGCAGAGTCGCAGGACTGTGGAGAGCCACGGGTTCTCAGGCTTCCACCTGCAGGGGTGGATCCATTTCAAGTATTTATGCAAATGTGTCTCTGAACTAAAGTGTGATCTTGTGCCAGTGCAGTGGTCTGAGCTGGTTCAGTCTTTCTTTAGAAAGGGCAGAGGACCCAGAGCCCAAGGACAGAGGCTAAAACTAGGTCAGCTGACCTTGAACACACCCAGGGAAGCTGGCACCTTGCCTCAGTCTCTCGGGCCTTCCTCCTGCTGAATCCGGCTCACTCGAGCAACTCTTCATTATAATCTAGACCAGTGGTTCCCAAACTCGACTGGGCATTAGGATCGTCTAGAGGGTTTCTTAAAATACGGATTGCTGGGCCCTACCCCAGGAGTTTCTGGTTCAGTGGGTTGCCGGGTGGGGGGGGGGGGGGCAGGGGCTCCTGAGAATCTGCATTTCTAGAAAGTTCCCAGGTGATGTGGAGCCTGCTGGTTTGAGAACCACTGCCCTAGGGGAAATGTCTGACTCGGGGGTAACAGTGGCAATGTGATGCCTCTGGACTCATTATTCTTGAGGAAGACTATCCCATTCCACTCTGCAAATGTCCCCATCCTCCTTTTGATATACCGACCAGCCAGAGATACCAGATTCTCTTAGGACCTGAGGAATGCTGAACTGTATCTAAGCACCATCATCCCAACGACCTCAGCTTCTTCCCTTCATATCAAACTTTATCCCCACCTCACAACTCTTCTGGCCCCAACAACTTGCAGTGGTCCCACTCAGCCCTTTCTTTTCTCTTTTTTTGAGAGAGAATGCATGCACACATGCGCCTATGTGAGCCGGGGGTGGGCGGCGGAAGGAGCAGAGGGGGAGAGAGAGAGAATCTTAAGTAGACCCCATGCCCAGTGCAGCATCTGATGTGGGGCTCAATCTTATGACCTTGAGATCATGACCTGAGCCGAAATCAAGAGTCGGACACTTAACGGACTGAGCCATCCAGGCTCCCCCCATCAGCCCTTTCTACACAGAGCTGCATTCCCCACCTGCCACCTGAAACCTACCTGAGAGCCCCCAAAATCCCATCTTCCACTCCATATCTCCTCACCTCTTCCTGGCTCAGTCTTCCATATGGTCGTAGAGGAAATGTAGAGGAAAACGTAGTCATTGGTCACAACAGGCGACGTCAAGGACTGACATTCTAGTGAAAAGAAGAAACATATATACATTTACATCTTCCCTTTTTTATCATCTTTGACCCCTTTGTCCTTCTCTTTCACTTTCTCTCAAGACCCCTTCAAATAACTGGTGACCTGGGCGGAGAAGATGCTATGTGGAGCCCTGGGGTGAATGAGGAAAAGGGGCCCTCTGGGGGCACGAGACAAAACAAAGGGGATTTCAGCCCCTAGAGTGCCCTCGGCTGGTCGCTGCTGGTCACCTCTGTGTGGTGCACGCCACACTGGCCTTTGACACGGAGTTGGCCACTTTTTCCCTGTCTGCTGACTCGTTAGTGCGTGGGAGGCCAGGCTTACCTAAACATAAACAAGCACACACACAGGCATGTTGAGGATGACTAGTGAAACCAGATTTTTCCTTGCTGTGCCCCAGTTTTGTTGAGACTGACATATGTTTCTGCAACTCTTCGTCTCCTTCTGTTTCTCATTCTCCCCAGAATAACCAAGGCCAGGCGTGTCCCCCATGAACTGCCCATATCAATCCAGCGGTGCTTTCCCTACTGGCACAGCATTTGCCCTGGAGTTCAGCTCGCGGCAGAACGGCTGATGTGCAAAGCAGAATGGAATCCAGCTTGGCTCTTGCTTGCTGTGTGGGCTCGGCCAGGCTCACAGGATACATACTTGTTTGTGTCTGGAAATTCAACAGCTGCGGCGCAGGTACTCAGCAAATAAATCTGCAGAGAGAGACCACACCATCATTTCCCCTGGCCAACCTCGACCACTCTTTTAGCCAGAGAAGGGAAGACTACATTTCCTCTGCTGAGAGTTTGCATTTTCCAGCTAGTACTAGCGTCCCCTAAAGTCCTTAAGGCCCTGACTCGACAGGTAACTGCAGCGGTCATTCATCTGGATCCTCCAAACACCTGCCAGAAATACTTCAGAGGTGGTACGTTAGCATCAACGTTCATTTCTTTCATCCTCAGGATAAGTGAATCCTTGCCTGGGGTTTACTCTCTGCCCTTTATTCCCCTGTAGCTGACCAGAAGGATTTGTTCCAAAACTATGCAATATTATTGCTCCCCAGCCCACTTTAGCAAACCATCCCCCTCCCAGGAACATGGTCCAGGGGTGATGGGACCATCTTCCCACTAGCTCCACGCCCCACATCTTGCCCCTCTGATGATGTTCACTAGGTTCTTCGTGTTTGGGCCTTTTAACCAAGTGGGCCCTCATAATAAGGACTGTCCCTCCTCCCAGGGTCTGAGCCTCCCCTGATTGAAGGAAAAGAGGCTCCTGAGCCCACGGCAATCTCTGCTCCACATGCTCTGCCTCAGATCACCAAGCCCCTTCGAAAAGCAGCCATGTCCCCTTCACTTTTGGGAATGAGGAATGGTTTGTGAGAGTGAACAGAAATATGGAATCTACCAATGAGAATCAGATGTAGTATTATCCTTAGGTTCCCAGATTTCTGCTGCCACAGCCCTATCCCTTCCTTGTGCCTCTTCGGTCAGTTGAAGCTCAATTACGGGACATAGAGCCAAAACAAAACATGAGGTAGGGAGACCACGAGGAAGACGATGAAGGCAACATTTTAAGCAAGGTTAAGCTACCGTCCCCGACACCTGTCCTTCTCCGCCCTGACTCTGCTCTATGCAGAGTGGGAGGGAAGGCCCTAAGGAAAGAGAAGTGTATCCACCTCGCCAGCATTCCCCACCCCAAGGCCTCGAGCAGGCGTGCCCATGGGCGCCAGGACAGAAGGTAGAGAAGGGGAGGGAGGCAGCCCCACTCCCGTCCTTGAGAACTATGAACGGGTTGCCCACCTTTGGTGGCCCTTGGCTGCAGGACAGTATGTCTGTCTGTGAGAAAGCTCTCTTCTGGCACAGCGTATTTTCCTGTGGTCCTTCAAGAAAACTGCATGTGGGGCGCCTGGGTGGCTCAGTTGGTTAAGCGACTGCCTTCGGCTCAGGTCATGATCCTGGAGTCTCTGGATCGAGTCCCGCATCGGGCTCCCTGCTCGGCGGGGAGCCTGCTTCTCCCTCTGACCCTCCCCTCTCTCATGTGCTCTCTCTCTCTCTCATTCTCTCTGTCTCAAATAAATAAATAAAATCTTAAAAAAAAAAAAAAAAGAAAGAAAACTGCATGTGGAAGGTGAGAGAGAGAAGTCATTCACCTAAGCTGACATTCCTGCTGGTTCCATTTAGATCATCATGAAAGTGATATATTGTGGTCACGTTGGGCTTACATATGAAAAAATTCTCAGCAAGAGAAAATAACACACTGAAGGGGAAGTGAATGTTGGAGCGCTGAGTGAGCAGAGTGCTTGGGTTGTGACCTCCACGCCCTCCCTGCCTCACTGGCACACATCAGCCCTCACCAGACACCTGTCTGCTTCCTACGGTAAGCCTTGCCAACAACCTGGCCAGGCTTATCACAATAGATGTGATCCCTGCACAGCCTGGCTCATTCTTCTTCAGGAGGTAGTTGGCCTCCCTTGCTTAAAATTGAGCCCACACCCCTCAAAAACTAAATTAAAGGGCTCCTCACAGACACTGCCCAAGTGTTGGGAAGAGAAAAGTGAGACCAAATGTAGAAGTGTATTCTGAACCGTAGATGCGAGTGCAGGGTGAGAGAAATACAGGAGCTTTCAAAGCCACCTGTCTCTTTTAGAACATACTTTCCCTCAGGCCTTGGGCTGAGCGAGGAGACACAGGAAAATTCTGGCTAGTCTTCCATCCGCATGAGCTGCCCAGCCTACCCCTGGCAGACACACACTTGCCCCAGGAAAGGAGAGAGTAAAGAAGCCTTCCCCAGACCTCACCGTTCCTCATTCCAAACTTCTTGTGAGTCCCAGGGGCACTGGAAGAGTTTGTCCTTAGCCAAACACAACTTCCTGTTTCTAAGAAAGGGCAGGGGAAAAAAAAGTTGAAAGAGGTTTTGGACACTGGAGATTTCGAACTTCAGTAAACGCAAATGAATCAGACATATGTGGAAAAAATTTCTCCGGAAGTAAGAAAAGGTGCTGTGAGTTCCCTTTGCTGGACCAGAAAGTGGGAAAGGGGTAGCTGAGGTAGGATGTACATCAGAGGCTGACAGAAGAGAGAAAAGCCATGTGAACGTTGGATCAGGGAGAGGGTTCCGGTGATGACAAGGGTCAATGCGGGCCCTCCCAAGGCCACATCCCCCACTTGCTTATTACTCAGAACTTCTCCGCCTCTGAAGCCATAAATTTAAATATCCTACTACCAGCCATGACCTCCTATCCTTCCAGATCTCTCACTAGCTCCCACTAAATTTATTCTAGGGACACCCGGATCCTTAACCACCTCCATATATACGCATTCCCCGGTCTTTATTTCTCCTTGGTCTCCCCTTCGTCTCTCCCTGTGGTGCTTACACTCCGTGTTCCAGAATCCTCACCTCAGTCTTGCCAACAGCCCCAACTTCCTTGTCCCACTGACATTCTGTGGAAGTCAACAAGCAGAGCCTCACTCCAGACACCCTCACCTCTTTGCCTCATGCTTATTATCATCATGCTAACAGCCTGGCTTCACACCACTGAAGGAAATCACGTAGGTGCCACTATAAAATTATGGTCCCCAGTGGAAACTCGGACCCAAGCAGGCTTCTTCAGTCAGCTCTATTGCTTGTTCTCGGAAATTATTATACACTTTCTCCACTATCCTCAGGCTCATGATCCTGCCACATTCCCCTTCCTATGAGTAGATAACCTTACCTCCTACTACCAAGTGGTACCAAACATTACATTTCCCATGATAGAAGGGAGAGAGGCTCAGCGAGGAGAGACAGTCTCACTGTTAACAGGTCAAGGTACAGACATGAATCTAGAGGAACATTATAATTCTACCTTATTTTGGATTCAAGAGATATATTCCAACTGTTGTCAAGTCCACAGGAGGGTGAAGGTACAGGAGATAATTTCTCTACCTTATTAAATTAATCCCTCGGCTCCTCTGAAGGTCATAGCACATCAGGTCTAGACAGCCAGGACTCATACATGCCTCAGCTTCCCCATCCTATCATCCTTGTTGACCCCTCTGTTCTCCACAGAGTAAATGCCTTTTCTACCCAGCGAAATGCCTTTTCTTGGACTTGGCCCCTGACAGGATTTGTCAGTCATTCCGTTCCATATAGCGTCACTGCTACATGGAGTTGGGTCTTCAGATCTCAAGGGTGGAGGAGGGGAAAAAGGAAAAAGCCCTCACAGGGACAGATCCAAGGACAACATATCTTAAAGACAATAGACTTTCCACCATGCTAACTTCGGCCTCCTGCTAGCCTATCTCTGATGTGTTGTAATGCTGAAAGAATGTGTCCCTCTTCTCCATCTTGAGTTATTTACCACAGGCCCCTTCTGTTTCTCAGCCTCCAAATGTGCTAGATTTCAGGAAGGGGGAGGGGGTGGAGGGAAGAGGAAAAAGCTGCCCCACAAGAAAATGAAAGTCATCATACAAGATGCTCAATTTCTTGCTACCAATCCTAGCGTCTTACCTGTAGCTACACCTATCCTTTTTTTTTTTTAAGATTATTTATTTGAGAGAGAATGAGAGAGAGCACATGAGAGGGGTTAGGGTCAGAGGGAGAAGCAGACTCCCTGCCGAGCAGGGAGCCCGATGCGGGACTCGATCCAGAGACTCCAGGATCATGACCTGAGCCGAAGGCAGTTGCTTAACCAACTGAGCCACCCAGGCGCCCTACACCTATCTTTTAAAACCCATCCTCTCTTCCTGTTTCTGTTACATGATGAGTTATTTCCCTATCAGAATTAATCCCTTCTGGACACCACGGCCCTGCACCTTTTCATGTCCTTCAAGGATCCCTCCCTCTCCTGTAGATTTAGCTTCTCCCTCTCTCCGCTGGCTCCTTCCCATGAGAGTCTGAAGGGTGCTGCCTCATCCTGCTGCTGTCATGTTGTGGCCCTATCTCTTCACACTCCCCTTGCTTGCTAAGCACCTACTGTTCCTCCAACGTATGCACTCTTTGCTCCCTCTGGACATCCATATGCATTCTTCCCTTGCCCTGAAATGTCCTTTTCCCCTTTTCTCCTCTCCTCACTTCAACAAACTCCTATTTATTCATCGAGCCCCAGATTCAAGATCACTTCCCCAAAGAAACCCCCCGGGTTGGGTTAAACACCCTCATGGCATTGTGCACTTCACGTTTCAAATACACAGCACACAGTCTTCACTGCGGACCCATAGTCCATGATAGCCAGACTACATGTTGTGTTCATTTGCATACAGCAGGCACTTCATAAACGAAAAAACAAATGATCAAGTCTTTTTCTACTTCGGTAGGTTTACACCACCCCCACATTCTTCTCTGCTCCTTCCACAGTCACATTTCAGAAGATTGCTACACCCCTCACCCCCTAACAATCCAGCTCCCTCCAGAACTGCCCACAGAGACTGTCTTGCCAAGGTCGCCAATGACCTTGTGCTAAATCCAGACATTCCTCTCTCCTACCGCCTGAGTTCTGGCCCTCCTTCATAGTTGTGGAGATCCTCAGGGATCTACTCAGTCTTCCTGGGTGATCTCCCATACGCTCCCACAGTTTCAGTCTTTTCCACACGCTGATCACTCCCAAATTCAAATCCCGAGGCTGTGTCAGGGGTCCCCAAGACCACGCTGTCATTTGGAGATCCGCTGAAGAACTCACAGAACTCAGCTTGTAGCTATTCTCATGGCTGAGGTTTATTACAGAGACACAGTTGAATTATAAGAGACAAAGACACAGGCAGAGACTGGAAGAATCCACAAGAGGCTTCCTTGTGCTCTCTTCCTCCCATGAGGGGCCACACAGAGCCCAGTCTTGCTCCAAAACTTGCATGTGATGTTTCTGCCCAGGGAAGCCCATGAGAGACTCAGTGCCCTATGTTTTAATTGGGGACAGTCAGGTAAGCAGCCTCTGCCTAGCACATACCAAAATTCCAGACTCCCAGAAGGGAAGTAGGTGTTCAGCATAAATCATCTTGTCTGCACAAACAGTGCAGGAAACCAGCCTTATCAGTCAACTGTTGACTGGGACACTCTGAGAGCCAAGTTCCCAGACACCACCAGCCAAGGGCCCACCATGCCATCAGGTCTTTCTAAGGACAGCAGTGGTAGGCCGGCTGTGTTCACTCCTTTCTGGCTGGAGCTATCTCCCGAACCACAGGCCCAAGTCTTTCCAACTTCCCACCAGACTCAGTGTCCTCAAACTCATCCTCTTCCTCCCAGCTGCTGTGACTATGACCTATCTGCTGTTTCTCCTTCTTCCCCACCCATCCAATCCACTAGCCCCCAGATGCAACCACTCCTCTCTACCCCCACTGCTGCTCAGTGTCACCTCCCCCTAGGATGGCTACAACAGGCCTCTCCCATTCTGCTTGATATCCCTCCAATCTGATGCTCACATTATTCAGTTAGCTTTTGAACATGAAAATTGGATCACTTCATTTCCCCACTTAAACCTTATAATGGCTCCCCAATCCACTAAGAATATAAATCTAAAACTCTTAACAAGACCGACAAGTTCCTAAGTGAACATAACAGCACCCAGTCTTATTTTATGTCACTCTCTCCCCTCTGGTGACATTTGTGTCTTATCAGTTTCTCACCAGGCCTTTTCTCATCGGAGGGCTTCACACATGCCCTTCCAACACCTAGGATGCTCTTTCCTCTGCCCACCCTTGGCTCCCCTCAACTCATCCTCAGGGTCCAAGGTTGCGGGTCACATCCTCAGGAAGCCCTCCCCCATTTTCCCTAGTCTAAACGAGGCCCCATTACTCGCTTTCATAATTAATAACTATACATATCTTATGTGCATTGTTCGTGTCATGCCTCCCTCTCCTCCCCACTAGACTGGAACGTCCATGAGGACAAGAACTCTTTGTTTGCCGCTGGATATCCAGAGCCAAGCTAGAACCAGCCACATGGCTATGTGCGGGCTCCTTTGGCTCGGGCTGCCCTAATGAAGTATTGTAGTCAGGGTGGCTTAAACCGCAGACATTTCTGGAGCCTGGAAGCCTGAGATCAGGGTGCCGCCATCATTAGTTCCTGGTGAGCACCTACTTCCTGCCTTGCAGACGGTCCCCTTTCCTCGGTTCACACTGAGGGGGAGAGAATGAGAACCC